CATACCCTCCTATTATATACACGTATTTTTGTTCACACACATCACCCAGGTCAGTTTGTTGTTGTTGTTTTGTTCAGTTTTATTTTGTTTTGAAAGAAGTTTCTCTGTGCAGCCCAGGCTGGCCTCAAACTTGTGACCCTTTTCTTATGAGATTAGTTTCTGTTCCAAGCCGTGACTCTGACCACTCCTCCACTCCCCTTGAAAGCTGCTACGCTTTATAGTATAATATGCTTATTTCCTGTAGTTAGAGTCCAGATTTCAAAGCTAAGGTTTTTTAACTTGAACATTATGAGCACACATGTTGTGGAAAGTGGTCAAAGACTGACAATAGTCTTGTCATGTAGCAGAAGAAAAAGAGAAAAATGGGCAATAAATAATCACCGGAAGGAAAGACATCTGATATGTTTTCCCTACAATCCCAGCTAAGGCTGCGTGCCTTGTTCCCTCAATAACTCTGAAGCAGGGACAGATAAGCCCATTTAAGCACTAAGGATGCTGAAGGTCAGAGAAGACTGCAAGGTTACAACCTAGTTGTTAACAGAGCCAGGACACAAATTTAGAACCTTTGATTCCAGAATCTGTGCACAGAACCACATCAATAGGTATACAATCTGGCGGTGTGTCTAGGACTCAGTGCATAGGTGGCACTGGCATGTGATAAGGCCTTCAAAAATATCTTATGGGGCTGGGAAGGTGGCTCAGTGGAAGAGTGTACTTGCCTTGCATGCATGAGGCCCTGGGTTCGATTCCTCAGTACCACATAAGCAGAAAAAGCCAGAAGTGGCACTGTGGCTCAAGTGGTAGAGCACTAGCTTTGAGCTGAAGAGCTGAAGGACAGCACCCAGGCCCAGAGTTCAGGCCCCATGACCAACAACAACAACAAAAAATTTTATGGGTAACAAATGCACAATACAGTATAGGGCCCTAGGAGTTGAGTTCCAGCCCCTCACCCAGTCCCATTCCTGACTCAGGAGTTTGAGGCTACTGCTCTCTATATCTCAGAGCTACTGCTCTCTATATCTCAGATATAGAGAGTAGTAGTAATGTAGAATTACTACATCAAGTAGTAATTCTTTCCTATATATAGGATTTTGGAGACCATCCAATGGTATAAATGGATGATGTTGTAAATCAAAATGAAGCTATTAACAAGTTAGTGAGATCCATGTCTATGAATTAACATGTCAAAAATCATTCGAGGACATTTTGGAAGATGTTTTAGAGACAGCGAGTCTTTCCAAAGTCTATAAACAGACAATGTGATGGAAAATCATTTTAGCAAACCTCTATTACACATGAATGACCACGGATAAACAGAAGCCTTCTCTTTTTCTAAGCAATTCTAGGTATCTGAATGTCTGGAAACTGAAAAAAGGAGTGAACTGTAAGTAAACATGAACTAAATTATTTAGTTGAAGTAAATGATCGAGAACACTTTCATAGATAGGTATGTATCTGTATATATTGTGTATATGTGCATATGTGAGTCATTTTTCTCCAATATTGGCTAATCTAAGAAAATCAGTATGCCTAAATTTACCCAAGACCAAAATGAGATAGATCAAGAAATCTATTGATACTGTACTAAGCTGCAGAGGAAATGCCTACAGGCTTAACCAGAAGTTCAAGTCTCTGTGCAGTGGCATAGAGAATAGCTCCAGAATTGACAGACAAACCTACAGAGTAACAACAGATGTCCAAGTCAACTGAGATCTCTCATAGTCCTCAGGACACTAAATAAGTTAGGGTCACTAAGACTTCTGTGGAGTAAAAAGAATTTAAAATTTACTTTAAATAAATCTGCTCAACACACAGATTCAGTTGGAACCAAATGGACTCCAAAAAATGCAACAAATTAAATTGTTATACACACACACACACACACACACACATTATGTATCTCAAGTTCACATCTACTTTTTTTAACTTTTTTTATTGTAAAAATACTGTACAGAGGGGTTACAATTACATGGGCAAGATAATGAGTACATTTCTTATCAAGCATTGTAGCCTCCTCCTTTGTTTCCCCTTCCTCACGTCTACTTTTTTTAAAATGCGCTACTACTTTTTTTTTAAGTACTCTACTACTGAGCTACATCCACAGCACATAGCCTATCGTCAGAAGACAGTAATAAATAGATATTGAAAAAGATTGTGAACAGGTGATTTTCTAGCTATAGAAATGCAAATAGGGTGATTCTACATTTGAGCCAAAATGCCAGGGAGCCTTTGCTCATGGTTGGATTTCACATTCTGTATAGCATTCCACCTCTTAGCATGAAACCATAAATACACCATCCCATAAGAAAGACTTTGCCATCACCAATTGATAGCAGTAACCCGTGCTGTCCCTAACTGGCTAGCAACCCTGTTTAACAGCTACAATGTGCCCCTAAACTCATATATCTTGAACCACTTCCCTGGTCTTCTATGCACTGGTATCTGCCCTACTCAGGGCCATCGCAGACCAGACCCACTAGAACCTTCAGAAGCCACTACTATGTTTCCACATTGCTGTATATTGCTCTTGCTAGCTTAACTTACTCTTGAGTCCCTGCAAAATCAGGCCCCTAGAGTGTCTCTCTCCCTTGAAAGTCTGTTTTGTGAGTATGAAGTCAGACAATGTATGTTAGCATGTAGCCCGTGGCCGGTATGTATTAAATATTGAGAAGGTGTGAACTGTCATGTTTTAGCTGAAGTCTCTGCTAAGGTAGCTCCCATCACTGAATGTCTATGATAAATCAGTTTCACCTTAAGTTAATGTTGAAACTCCAGAGAGACACAGGTCAGTGATTATGAGATCAGCATTCATCTGGAAAGACTGAGCTCTTCTTGCCAGATTATTCAAACCCTTTCCAAGTGTCAAAGTTGGTTAATTCAGAGCTCACAGACTTGAACATCTGAAGATTCTATCAGATAACACACATGCATGACATAAACCAGGTGTTCATATACTACAATGCTGGAATATTCTACACATCCACTAAGAAATACATGTTCACATCTCCCTCAAAGCAATAAGTCCCTTCTGTGTTGTCCATTCTCCTGCGTGTATTTCTGATAAAATTATAAATGAAGGTAAATATTTCTCTTTCACAAGAAAGTAACTGCAAAGCTGGGCACTGGTGGCTCACATCTGTGGTCCTAACTTCTCAGGAGGTTGAGATCTGGAGGATAACAATTTGAGGCTAGTCCAGGCAGAAAAGTCCACAAAACTCGCTAGTCCAGGGAGAAAAGTCCACAAAACTCCATCTCCAAAGTAACCAGCAAAAATCTGGGCTCAAGTGGCAGCACACCAGCCTGAGGAAGCAAGCCATCCAACAGAAAGCACAAGGCTCTGAGTTCAAACCCTGGCACAGGCAATAAATTCATTCATTAATAACAATAAAGTAATTGCAAACACCACCTTGGTACAGAAAGTACTAGAGATTCAATAGCTACATGCAGGAGTTTGGTGGCCACAGAGAATAACAGTCTTCAGCGTTCTCGAAAGAAGTCAGAATTTGGAATTTAAGGTGGCTTTGCCTCATCATTAAATGTTTAATAATTTTTAATAAATACACTTCTGTAAGGGTTTTTTTTTAAAAAAAGAAAAGCTGGAGTGAATACTGAACATGACGTTGAGAAAGCCAGTTTGTTACCTCCTGTCAAAACAGAAAGTGCTGCCTGTTCATTTCTGGGCTAGTGGCTGAGCTCGTCCAGAAGCCAGAGAGAGCCGAGGGCAATGCTGGTGCCGCGGGGGTGCCTTGTCCTGTCTGCTATCACAAGTGACCAGGCAGAGTTTGCTACCAACATTTGGTGTGCCATTCCCCAGCACCAGCAGAGCCCCCACCCCAGACACACACACACTCAATGCTAGTGCTCTACAATTAAGCTGTGGCTCCACTTACAACCTTTGGGTTGCTAATTCGAGATAAAGAGTCTTGCAGTCTTTGCTGCTTGGGCTGGCTTCGAACCTCATCCTCTGATGGTAGCCTCCTGAGTAGTTAGGATGTCAGGCCTGTGCCTGTTGAGGAATTCTTACTGCTAATTTTCCCAGTGACCCCCAACCTCATAAACACCGCACTAATTGTGGCCAATGTTTATTCACCATGCACTCCATACCAGACTCTATTCTAGAAGCTACACCTAACTAACATCATCTCGTTTAATCCATCCAACAACTGGATGAATCGATGATGTTATTTTACTCCTAGGGTACAAAAGGTTAATTCAATAAGTGGTCCAAGGTCACACAGCTGGTGTAAGTGGTAGAATCTGATCTCCACTGCAAGTTCTGAACCAAAAGCTACTTAACCATTTGAGTATCTTCTTTTGGCAGGAATAGATGGTGTGATTCTCCCTCCCCCCACCCCACCATTGTTCTGGAAAAGTGAATAGCCCCCAAAGACTCCTTTTCAAGGAGTAGCTGAGAATCAAAGACAGTAAAAGGTAGAAAGGACTGTTGGCCCTGGCCTATGCCATCGAGGGCCATATCCCTCTTCCAGGACAGACATTCCCCAAGGAGAAGAGAAGGGAGATGAACCTGGCACAGGGAGAGAGCGCCATGTGGTAATGATAGCAATCTATCTCCCCAATCCTTCCCCGTTTACCTCGTAGGTGCTGGTGATTCCCAGTTTATAGAACACGGGGAGGAAGACCTCGGCACTGATGAGCACCACAAGAAAGTAGCTGATGGCAAACACACTGAAGACGGCTCCAAAACGGTAGACCTCAGAGGGGGTGCCCAGCACGGTGACGGCCGACATGAAGCTGGCGGTGAGGGACATCGCCACGGGCACGGCCGTCATGCTGCGACCCCCCATCAAGAAATCCTTGGAGGTCTGCTGGCCGCCCCCCGCGAAGGCGTAGTAGATGCCGATGGCGGCCGAGATGAGCAGCATGCCCGCGAACACCACGTAGTCCCACACCACGAAGCCGCCGATGTCCCGCCGCGCATCCATGGCTGCTGCGCGGTGGCCCGGGCGCCCTGCGCGCAAACTTGGGGAGCCCACCCAGCGATGAGCAGCCGGGACCCCGCGGTGAGCAGCCTGGACCCCGCGGTGCGCAGCCCGGACCCCGCGATGGGCAGTCCGGACCCCGCGATGAGCAGCCCGGACCCCGCTATGGGCAGCCCGGACCCCGCAGTGCGCAGCCGGGACCCCGCGGTGCGCAGCCCGGACCCCGCGGTGCGCAGCCCGGATCCCGCGATGGGCAGCCGGGACCCCGCGGTGCGCAGCCCGGACCCCGCGGTGCGCAGCCCGGACCCCGCGATGAGCAGCCCGGACCCCGCGGTGCGCAGCGCGGACCCCGCGATGAGCAGCCCGGACCCCGCGGTGCGCAGCCCAGAACGCGCCGTGCAGCTGCGGTGCGGGCTCCGCTCGGCTCTACTTCCTTTGCTTTGCTTAAAAAAAAAAAAAAAAAACAACCACCTGGGCGCAGGGGTGTGGTGCCCTGCGGAGATCACAGGCGACTTCCAGGCGTCGCCTAGGTGTCCGCCCCGAGCCTGAGCGCCCCGCCGAGGCGCTGGCCCCGGAAGGCCCTGCGCCCCAGTGCCATCCGTGGCACCCACTCAAAGCCCGGGACTTCAGGGAGTCCGCGCTCGCCCCTCCCTGAGAGTTCACCAGGAGTGAGGGCTGGGGTCACCAGGGATCACCGCGGGGACGCAGCCCGGGACCCACCCGCGGGCGGGTGACTAGGGAGCCAGCAGCCGCGCCCCCAGAGAAGCCCCAGGGAGCAGATTTTATCAACTGGCATTTCAGAGACTGCGTGGTTTAAATAAGCAGGTGACCCGCGGGGGAGTGCGGGTCAAAGGACAATTGTCACGCCTTGAAATTTCAGCTTTCCAGTTCAACAGTTCAGGTCCTGACAGGAAGATGTGGCGTGGAGATTTTCAGGTCGTCCTTATTAGATGAGTTAATGGGTGATGGGAACGGCAGGCGCAGGGAGAGTACATAGTCCGCCCTCAAAACCGGTGGGAAGGACAGAGAGAAGTTTGCCTCGTTGCTGGTCTGAGTTTCCCCCTAAGCTAATTTTTTCTAATCTGCAGTACAGTCTGTCTGATCCCTTCCAGCCCGGGGTGGAAATGGTATTTGCTGTTGTGCGAAGACCTCTGAGACGGGATGTGATGCGGGTACACTGGACACCTTTGCCAAGAACTAGTGTAGCTCTTTTTCTTTTTTAAATGTATTGATCATCTTTACGTCGTTGTACAAAGGGGTTGCCATTCGGTTTAGGAATATAACCCATCTTGCTCCGTGTCATCCCTTTCAACATTCTCACCCATCCCTCCCAACCCCACCCCCGACCCTCACTTTTCTTAACTTTGTAGGATATACATTCAATTCTTGACTGCACCCCCCTCCTCTCTCCCCCCCTCCTTCTGCTATTCATTTGTCTTGGTCTAATTTTTATTGTTAGCTTTGATTTTTTTTTGGGGGGGGTCCGGTCGTGGGGCCTGAACTCTGGGCCTGGGCGCTGTCCCTCAGCTCTTCAGCTCAAGGTTAGCACTCTACCACTTGTGCCATAGTGCCACTTCTGGCTTTTTTCTTTTTTCTTATGTGGTGCTGAGGAATCGAACCCAGAGCCTCACGCATGCAAGGCAAGTACTCTACCACTGAGCCACCTTCCCAGCCCTTATTGTTAGCATTGAATAGGAATCATTTCTCCATTTCTTCAAAATGAAGACAGTGATGAAATCACTTGCTCTAGGAAATGGTTGAAATGCTTCTCCATTGAGGTCCAATTTAAGAACTCGTTCTTTTGATGACAATATTGTACTCGGCAAAGGCCATAAGTAAATTGGTACTAAACGCAGGCACAAATGTGGGCCCTTCAGACATTTGAAACAGGAAGTGGTGCTGTAGCTCAAGTGGAAGAGCGCTAGCCTTGAGCTGAAGAGCTCAGGGACAGCACCCAGGCCCAGAGTTCAAGACCTACAACCAACAGAAATGAAAACAAAAAAAGTACTAATCATTATTGCTAGGTGCTAGTGGCTCAGGCCTATAATCCTAGCTACTCAGGAGGCTGAGATCTGAGGATGGCAGTTTGAAGGCAGCCTGGGCAGAAAAGTCTGTGAGATTCTTATCTCCAATTAACTACCAAAAAAAGCAGGAAATGGAGCTGTGACTCAAGTGGTAGAAAGCTAACCTTCAGCAAAAAAAAAAAAAAAAAAAAAAGCTCTAGAACAGTACCCAGGCCCTCAGTTCAAGCCCTAAGACTGGCACCAATAAAACAAAGAAGTCTATTAATCTTCAGTCAATCTATCTAGTCTTCTTTGCTATTCACTTAAATCTATTTTTATAAAATGCCTGTTTATCATGCTATAGTTTAATTCAGTGCCACTGAATTCAATCTGCAATGGTATGTTGTGCTTTACTGATCTCAATGTGGATTTGTCTGCTTCTGCATTTTAATATCACTAACAGTTTCTCAGAATCTCATGCTAAGGTCTTTCCAGCTTTCTAATTCTATGGCTTGTTGTTGTTGTTGTTTTGGTGCCTATACTGGGGCTTGAACCCGGGGCTTAGGCACAGACCCTGAGCTTCTTTGGCTCAGGCTAGCTCTCTACCACTTGAGCCACCAGTACCACTTCCAGCCTTTTCTGATTAGTTCACTGGAGATAAGCATCTCATGGACTTTCCTGCCCAGGCTGGCCCAGACTGGCTTCAAACAGCAATCCTCAGATCTCAGCCTCCTGAGTACCATGCTGTATTCTTAAATTTCTTTTTTAAAGAATCCTAAGAAAAGTTATTCTATACTTCTCCTGAATCTTTGAAACCATGTTCCCAATCCTTCATCCCTTAGAATTTTACCATGGGACATATACTGACAATTTTTCTAGTATTCATCTGAAGTGCAAAAGCAATTTCCAAGCTTAGTGTTGCCTTCCATTGTATTGTTCCCTTCTTTTAGATTCCTGATTTTAGTTAGCTCAATATTATGATCATGAGATTTGCACAGATCAAAACCTTCCTGTATACAGGTGGATCTGATGCAACAATGAGAAGTACAAGTTGTCATGTCCAAAACGAGCTTTACAACGTCGGTGCGGGGTGGGGGGG